GCAAGACTGGACATGTAAACCATCTCCAGTCGAGAAAACCTTAGGCAAGTTTAATCCTAAACCAAGGAGATTACAAAGCAGAACAATTCTTTGCTTGGGTTTAGTTTGAAGGATGGGGGGAAATTTAGATCCATACCGATTTTATCTGAACATGTTTTTACACCCACTGAACCAAACCAGAGCATGACAAAGCTGTGATTACTTTGCTCCCCACAGAAGATCGAGCGTATTTAAATTAGAGATTGGTTTTCTTTATTCATTATGAATTTCGAGATGCCAGCCAAAGTTTTCTGGTATTGGAATTGGAGGAAGTGTAGCAGGGATTATAGTCTCTGACTAATAGAATGGTAATTTAAAAGGTGTAGGCAAGATAAGCATACCTATTGAAATATTTTATATATAAGTTGGAAGGATATGAGAGCAATATCAAGAAGCAAAGTAACGACAATTTCCTTGAAATTTTTGGAACAGTTTATGGGTAAAGTGGGAAGGAAGGCACATTTTGTGGGCACCATATTTCTGACTGGCTACAGAATCAGCCCAGGCCAAGAGAAGACAGCCAGGGCAGCTGGAACCAGCACAGTACCTGCCATGCTTGAGAGGTGGGATGGGAAGTGCATTTGAAGCCCCAGGACTATAGTTCTCATTACTCCGTTGCCAAGAACATAAGAGAAGGAGCTTCTGCTCTCAGCCTGTGCTGCACTTGAACCTCAGCTACAAGTGCCCAGGGTCAGCCCCATGGGGCCCATGGTTCAAAGTGCTCCATTCTGATCCTCTGCCAGTGACATCTTCCCATATGGCCAAGGGGACATCCACTTCCATCCCACACCTCCTTCCAGACCATATTCTATGCAGCCAGACTGCGGTTGACCTTTGTTTCATCTTTATCACCCTTCCATTGCCTAGCAGATGTTAAGTACAAGAGAAAATGTAATAGACTACTGTTTTCTTAGGGTCTCTTCCACTGCACAGCCCCCCTTAGCTACAGCAACCTCTTGAGAAATTTCATGTTTAAAAGGCCACATTGACTCATCACTTCAGGGTGAAGAAATAGGAAAATTCTAGTTAATCCATGTTGGACTCCATGGTGGCTCATATCCAAGACATGAGGGTGGGGAAGATGAACTCAGAGGTGCTGCGGAGCCTATGCATTTAGTGTGCCACCACAACTAGTAGCTGTACTTGACTGAAAAGGCTGAAAATGAGCTTAGTTCTTAGCCTTCTGTGTGAAGAGGCTAAGAAGGCTTGATCAAGAATCCATGTTATGTCTCAAACAAAAAACCCAGTACACAGAAATGCCTGGGTATAAGGAAGAGGGATTGATCATCACTGATTTACCAAAGAGAGGGACCTACAGGTATCTTGTTCAAGACCACACTCTTCAGAAATGGAAACGGTGAAGAGAATGACGGGAATGTGGGGGTGTCTCTCCTCAAACCCTGGGCCTATGTTGCTTGCTCTCCAACTGCCTTCCTGCTCTAGGTAGCACTGATTATATGTGTTCTTTTTTTAGAAGGACCAAACTTTGTCAAAGATTAGAGAGCAGGAACAAAAGAGTAGGGTTCCTACTGGTATAAATGAAATAATGAAACCTGAATTAGAAAGATCAAGCCCCAAGAAGGGCCAGCAGGTCATCTTCACCCAATCAGCTGAGAAGGATTTCCCCAGAGATAGAGTAAGACACTGGCAGAGGTGTCAAAATCATTTCTGGGGATTATATACTTTATACTATTCTGTACTTTCTAACTTTTCAACAATGAGAAGGTATTACTTTTTAAGGTAAAAGTTCACAGACAATACATGATTATGTTTTGTTACAACATTCAAATATATAAAACTACTTTTTAAAACTCTTACCTCTCCTTGCCGCATTCCAACCTCCTCTTTAGAGAAAGCCTCAGTTAGAAGTTTAATATGAATTCCTTAGGCCTGCACTGTCTTCTATGGATGTCACTACACACGTGTGGTTATTAAGTACTTGAAATAACCTACTATGATGTGATGTGCTATAAGCATAAGATACATACCAGATTTAAAATTTTTAGTATGGAAAAAACATAGTTTTTGTCTTGGTTACATGTGGAAATGAGAATCATGGAGACAGTTACAGATCAGTGGTTGTCAGGGATCCATGGGTAGGGAGAGGAGGGACGAATGTGTAGAGCACAGAGGCTTTTTTGGGCAGTGAAACCATTCTGTAAGACAGTTTAGCGGTGAATGTATGTCATAAATTTGTCCAAACCTGTATAACATGAAACATCCAGAAGGAAGCCCAGTGTAAACTATGGACTTTGGGTTATCACATGTCAATGTAGATTTATCAATTGTATCAAATATACTGCACATGTACATCTAGAGGAAAAGCTTTTATGAGAAGTTTCTGTGCTTTTTTCAATTTCACTGTGAATCTAAACTTGTTCTAAAAGATAAAGTCTCAAAGAAAAAACATTTTGGACATTTTGGATTAAATAAAATCTTATTAAATTGATTTTACCGTTTTACTTTGTAAACTTAGCTACTAGCTGGGCATGGTGGTGCACACCTGTAATCCCAGCACTTGGGAGGCTGAGATGGGGGAGTGCTGCTAGTTCAAGGCCAGCTTGGGCTACAGAGAAAGACCCTGTCTCAAAAAACTAAAAATAAACAAATAAATAAACCTAGCTACTGGAAAATGTGACTCACATTGTTTCTATTGAACCAGCACTGCTCTAGAATCTAGATAGTTTTTTGTGCATTTACTTACTTATACATATGTAGAAATATATTTTTCTTTGTTTTCTAACATAAATTCACATTTCTTTTATAGTTGAGTAAAAACACTATAAAAAGTATGGTCTTTAAATGCAATGAATTCATGACTTCATTCCTCTTTCTTTTCCTTCCTCTTCCTCCCTTTCTCTCTGTTTGTACTTGTCAACCTACAAGGCCTTAGAGTGAAGGAGACAATTACTCTTGGCCATGCAGAGGCTGAAGTGAGTGTACCTAATGCTTGAATTAAATCATACAGGTACAGATTGACCAAAGGGTATCCCCTTGTAGGATAAAAACAAACACTAGTAAATGGAGGAAGGCTTCAGCCTTAATGGGACCTGGAAAAATGAAACAGCAGTAAAAATGACCATTACTAGATCCAAATTCTCTATACTCCTCATGTTATCTCTTTCTCAGACTTTTTTTTTTGAAGTAGGCTAGGTTCTGATTTATTGAAGATATAATAAAATATTTTATAATGTATCTAATAGATTTTATTCTAAGTATCTGACAATGTCCAGTTCAGTGGATTTTGCAAAAGAAATGACCCCAAACAAGCTCCCATTACTCCCCACTTGAAAATGGCTTAAAAACATAGATAGTTTACACAGATTGTACTTGTGTAAATGGACCAGAAGCACATACTCATGCAGCACATCACTGGCATGCTATTTATAATATTCTAGCAGAGTGTGAGCAATGCAACATTAACAGTGCTTACTTGGACTCAGTGTAGAACCTCCTTTGGGGCAAAGGAGAGAAAAAAAAACATTAGGCATGACAAACTCTTACTGTTTTCATTCCTGCAAGGTTTTGTTGGTGAGCTGACTTATTTGTGTTCCTGTGGTGACATGCTACCTAGATAAAAACCTGCAACTGAAGACTATTCCTTTGCCACTCTGCTGCTCCATGCCAAGCTTCCCAACGAGTAAAATGAGGCACCGGATGAAGCAACACTTTCTCTTAGTTGGTAATTCTCCCAATATTAAACCAAGTATTCCTTGGACAGGCTACATGGAAACTGTTTTAAATGCTTCACATTGATAGGACATTTGAAACATATTTTTTCCTTCTTTTTTCTTTCCCTCCACCCTTCACTAGGTTTTTCCCTCTCATTCAAGAAAGAACAGAGAGCGTAGAGCACAAATATACATTAGATGTATACTGAGGGTTTTCAACCTCCTCTGAGGTTGAAATAACAATTTGAAACTTTAAAAAACCCTCCCTGAATTAGAATTGACTTCATCTGAAAAGAGACCATCTGCTGTGGCAGTCCAACCCAGCCCCTACTTCCCCCATCCCAAGTTTTGGTGGCTACAGGTGAGGAGGGCCCCCTCCTTCCCATGCCCCTTCCCAAGAAGCTGTCAGGAAGCTCTCAGACAATATCAGCAAGCAGGAAGTGGGTTGAGCGTGAGGGAGTCTCCACCCATTAGCAGCTGTTTAAAGAGTAGGCAGGGGAACTTCTGTACAGAAAAATGCAGGTGAGCAGATGCTGTAAACCAATTTCTACCACATGCTATCCAGTTGTGCAGTTAAGTTAAAATGCCAAGAAAGACCTGGAATACCAACTTCTTTGTTTTGTCCCTACCTTATGCTTAGCATCCAGCAGAATAAAATGGGAATAGCTGGACTTGGCAGTTTAAAGGGAATTATTAGGCAACAAGAAGGAAGTGAAGGCAGCACAGACCAAGGGAAGCTGTCTACATGGAACGTTGGGTACCAATGATTAAATGTCAAGAGCCATCACTGTCCACATGGTGACGTCTACACAGGATCAGTGACTTGCTCATTCAGATTTAACCAAAAGGCAACTCTGACAGATTATCAGAATCTTTTGGGGAGGGTCGTGGGTGGAGTAGGGAAAGGAGTGGGGTAATTTTAAAAAATGACTTCATTTTTTAAAAACACAGTAATATTATCACCTCAGTAATTTTGCTGAAGTCTATTCTAGCGCAATGTAAAAGTGAGGTTTTGCCAAAAGCCAGAAAAACATTTCCAAATATGTCATTATAGATTATATTAGAACTCTAAACTAAAAATGTATAAAGGTGTGTTTGTTCATAAGATCTTAGTGCATTTTTGTTAACACTTTCCTTATGGAAGATGGCTGGCTTTTTCTTATGCTACTTTCTTAATGATGATTTACTATGGGTTTAATAAGTGGATAAGGGCTGAGTTCATAGTTTATTTGTATACTTAAGAATAGTTTTGTGTATTCCCTTACCAGTTGGAAAATGCTAAATGGTTACCTCTATGAATGTGTCCCGATTGGCTTGCAAGCCAACTTTTACCACCTCAAAAGGGTTAACCATGATGGCTTCTGTAAGTCCAGATCCCAATCCAGCAATGGAAAATGTCTAGAAAAATTAAATCAATCATTTCTTTAAAAGAAGTGATCATGCATATTGGGTTAAGCATCCTATTCATCACACTGTGCAGCAGAATGTTAGGATGAGAATGGAGAAACCTACGGAAGTGTACCATATACCATTACTAAACAGCTTCAGTTCTGGATTAGATGCTAATCAAGAAAGAAGAAATTACACAAGCTATAAACCATGTGCTGATAATTTCAAAATAAAATGCCAAAGCCCCATCAACCATGACTTTTCCCTTTAAAAAAAACAAGGCTATTGTACTGATTTAAGGTGGATTCTAAAACATCTGCACATAGGATCATTACAAGTTTAAATTGTAAAATGAGTTTCATTATAAAGCATCTCTTTAAATGCATTTATTGAGCATATAAAGAAATTCAAGGAATGAACCACAGATATATTTTTGTTTTCTGCTCTCTTTTTTTTTTTTCGGTACCGGGGATCAAACTCGGGTCCTCGTGCTAGTGAGGCAGGCAGCGGAACCACTGAGCTAAATCCCCGGCCCCACAGATATATTTTTAAAAAGTTAAATTTCAGATAATAAAAACAGCATAGCTGGACACATTTAAATTTACAGTTATTTCCTAGAGTCACTATTCTAGACTATTTCTAAACAAAAATTAATTTTCACTCATTCTTTATTTGTTTAAAGGAACATAATTGCCCTATTTCTGGACCAAAATGCTGAGGAACAAAAGGCGAGATAAATGGTTAGATTTCTCTGAAGGGCTCAATTAAAATCTAGAAGATTTATCAAACATGATTATATGTCAGCTTCTTACTTGCTGTCAGTTAAGCATTTAAGCAGAAGGAAAAAACAATTTTATGGAGCTGTCTTTTCAGTAGAATATTTAAAAGTTTTCCAGGAAATCTGTACCCAAAATAACCATGACAATTAACACACACACATCTCTAAAACAAAATGAAGCAAAGGCTCCAGACTAGATGCTGGAAAAAAGTAATTCCTTGCTCCTGAATATCTAATTCTAGGAGAAGAAATTCTATTGTATAGGATGAGGAGAAGGATAAAACCAATGAAGAAGAACAGATAACTCTTATTAAGAGTCTCTAGTATCTTTCAAAATAGGAGGTGAAAAGAAAGAAGGGAGAAAGGAGTGTTCTGTAACTTTGGAGAGGCGCAAAGGAAGGATCAAAGGGGAACAAAGGAAGGATCCAGATCTGGGAGGCTTGGGTTTAGGTCCTAGTTCTGCCACTTCCTGGGTATCTCATCACAGTTGCCATGGACAGTAGTGTGTGCACAGACAGACACGCTCAGCCAAGCGTGTGTGGACTGAACCCAGCTTGCTCCCCACTTGCCAAACCACAGCCCTGGAGAGCATCAGCCAGGAGAAAGGGGACCATCTCATAATTCCCTTGCTGGGCTGTGTATGAATCACTGAACATTTGATAAGCCAGAGTTTTCTCATCTATAGAATGGGAATAATATCTGATTTCTGAACCTCAGAAAGATATTACAAGGGTCAAAATAATGTATGTGAAAAGTTCTGTGAAACTTTTCACTCTGTGAAGTGGTTTTCAAACACCATTGTTCTTGTTGCACATAGAGAGGAAGAGTAGTACTAGGAGAGATTGAATAACTAATGATGCATGCTTTCCTTTTAACCCACTTCATTACAGTTTTAAGCATAATCAGATATTGTATTCATTTATCTCCAACTTCCATCATGGAAGCCAAATGCAGGAAAAAAATTCAGGTCCCAAGCTCTTCTGACTGGGAAAGCTAAAATCCAGATGTTCAGGTTTTTATTACTTACTATATGCAATCTTCCAAGTAATTCACTTTTTTTGTTTTTCTATAAAGCTCAGCTACACATGCTGTCAGAACTAGTGTTCAGCAGTCCCTTGTCAAAAGAATTGATCAGCAATCAGCAGATCATATTACTTAGGCTGTTGCAGAGACATGCTCTGTTGTTGGGTTTCCAGTCTCCCAGGCTTTTCATGTGAACACCAGGGCATATTTAATGGCTAAGTATTAAAAAATGAGTTCAAGAAAAGAGAACTGTATACACTTTGCATGCATTCAGTTATAGTAGCTAGAATGGCCAAAAACTTTCCTGTTTCAACTCTCAAGAGTCGAAAGACCTGCAGCCCCTCTCTCACATGGTACCAATGTTCAAGCCAGATGGCCCTCTGTAGACCATATTTTATTGTCTCTCGCTAGGAAGTTTTTAATCTTCCATTTTCTAAAATGTTTCCAAAGTTAAGGATGATATTAAGGGAAGACACCAGGGAATTAAAAATAAAACCTCAACATAATTATGAGATTCATGGAAGAGCTGCTCCTTTCTAAGAGGGTAAGCCTTGTCTGGGCAGGAGATCTTTTTATCTTAACAGAAAGTGATAGTATTAGGTTTCTTAGCAGGATCTTTTCTAGAAAAGGTGCATGCATGGTTTTAGAAATAACAGATACTTTCAGGATCACCTACTTGGCAGAGTAAATATTCTGAAATGAATGCTTACAAGTAAAGTACTGATGGCCTCTAATATACAATGGTTCAACCTACAAGTTCTTGACTTTATGATGATGCTGAATTGACACACATTTCATACTTTGAATTTTTGTCTTTTCCCAGGTTATTACATGCAATACCATCCTCTCTCTCATGACGTTGAGCAGTGGCAATGAGCCACAGCTCCCAGTCACTATGCCATCAAGAGGGTAAGCAATAGATACTCTAGTGTTGCAATGGTTGGTAGGTCAGGTGTATTAACTGCAGGACTGGCTTACTGTATTTTCAGTGTATGGTGGGTTTATCAGCTGGAACTCCATTATAAATGAATGAACATTAAAGAACTGAAGCTCAAAACATTGCCTCACTGTGAGTTTTGAGGTACATTTCAGGGGGAAATGAAGATTTCCCCAAAAGTAGGAGGGTAGCTTGCCAATTGAAGCAGGAATGCACTTTGTCTTGTTTTCTTTCACAGATTTGCAAGAAGAGTTTAATACACTGGCTCTCTCTTTGAGGCTCTTGATGCACACACATTTGGCCAATATAATTTGACTTACTTTATGAAAAGCAGCAAAGTCACTAACAGAGAAGAGGCATAGGGAAGGGTTCAAATCACCAAGTGACTTTTGTGTAATAGTTGAGCTATGGCTTTGTAAGAACACTATTCTCCTTGGCTGAGTTGTTTACAATCATTCCTATAAAAGGTCCTTCAGTCTGCGCCTGACCACAGAATGATTTTATCTCAAGTGACTTGAAATCTTTATTTACTATAGCTTGAGCAACAGCTGGAAAAGTGGCCTGTTAGGAAATAATCTCAGGCATACTGACTTTTGCATAAATAGATATATGCAGTGTGTATGTAAATATATGCATGGTTTGGTTTTTAAGAGAATCTTTGATAAATGTACTCTTTATTTTATATTCTTGACCATATCTCATATAGGACTTTCCAGACTTAGCGTTATTATCATAAATTCATCACTAGGAGCTATAAAATAGCCAAATTGTGAGTTATTAGGAAGATGGCTTTCAACAAGTAGCTGAACATTGAATAACTCAAATTCATACTTTAGTAGCTGGGCTTGGAGAATCAAGAGGGTTTTTGTTTCTAGATTTTGCTTTATGAAATAACACACACACTTAAGTATAATAAATACTTTCACTTACCAATCCTGGTGACAGTGACACATATCCTAGCAATTTCTGGTACTGTTCAAAGGTGAAAAACTGTGAAACAAAACCAAACCTAGAGATTTATAACAATTTCCTGCAATAAACTCTTTAATTAACCAAGATTTCTTTAGTAAGCCATGTATTAACCAGCATTTTAAAAAATGATAAACTATCTAATGTTGTTATAAACCCTGTCTTGGGTAGTTACTTTTGGATCTTATTTTAACATTCACATTTTTCAAATGCAGTTATAATAACCAACAGAAGAGCTGATGGAATCCTTTATAGCAGTAAATGAACCATACAACTTCCATTTACCATGACCATTTTCAGTTTCCCCAGACATCAATAGGCTTCTTTTTTTATGGCAGTTATTCACAATTATAGGCACAGAGACCTGAAATCGTTGGTTTTCTATGTTTTCTCTATGAACTGCTTTCCCAGAAAATGCCCACTTGTCTAACACACTTGTAAAAGACATCCATTTCTCAGCTTTAACTTGCATTTAGATTGCTGTGTCTCCTAACTACTCCATGGAATTTCAACATTATATGGTTTGAAGATGCCACGATAAACTAGAGAAGGACCCAAAGAGGTTATCTAGTCCATGCCCTGCCTTAAAGCAAGATTGTCCTTGACCTGAATCAAGAGAGACAGCTGCTGGGCTGGGGATTTAGCTTAGCGGTTTCGCCTCCTGCTGCACAAGCGCAAGGACCTGAGTTCAATCTCTGGTACCAAAAAAAAAAAAAAAGAGAGACAGCTGCTTACTCCTTCCTTTAAAATCTGATGATAAAGATACTACTAATTCCATCAGAAGATGCTTTTATTGTTGGTATATGTTTGCAATACATAATAATTACATTCATCATGGGGAATAGGTACATACACATATTGCATCTTGATCATTTTTACAACCCCCCTCACTATCCTCTGCTTTACCCTTCACCATTTTCCTACAAATATGACTCAGATTTATACTTTATGGCTGAGTAGTACTCCATTTTATTTATATATTATATATTTCTTACACACATATATAATATATACATACATATTACATTTTCCTTATCCATTCATCTGTTGATTGGCATATAGGTTACTTCCAAATTAATTTAGCTATTGTGAACTGTGTTGCTATAAATATGGACATATATGTAAATATCACTGTAGTACAATAGATAACTTTAACTCTTTTGGGAAGATACCCAGAAGGGGAATACCTAGGTCAAATGGAATTTCTAGGTTTAGTTTTTTGAGGAATCTCTATAATGATTTCCATAGTAGTTGTACTAGTTTACATTTCCATCAACAATATAGAAGGGTTCCTTTTTTCCTCTTAGCCTTGCCAACATTTATTGTTTTTAGAATCTTTAATGATAGTCATTTTTACTGGGGTAAGATGGAATCTCAGCGTTGTTTTGAACTGCATTTCTCTAATGGCCAAAGATGCTGAACATTCTTTTTCATGTACTCATTGGGCATTTGTATTCCTTCTTCTGAGAAATGTCTGTTCATTTAAATTGCCCACTTTAATGGGTTTTTTATTTGGGGGAGATAATTTTTTGAGTTCTTTATATTCTATATATCAGACCTTTGTACAACAAGTGCTGGTAACTATTTTCCTATTCTGTAGGTTGTCTCTTCACATTATTGGTTGTTTCCTTTGTTGTGCAAAAGCTTTATAATATTCATTGATTCTTGGTATTCTTTCTTTCTTTCTTTTTTTTTTTTTGGTACCGAGGATCGAACTCTGGTCCTTGCACATGCGCAGAAGGCGGCAAAACCACTGAGCTAAATCCCCGGTCCTATTCTTGGTATTATTTCTTGAGCAATTGGGGTTCTGCTAAGAAAGTCCTTGCCTATGCCTATGTCTCTTCAAGAGTTTTACATATTTTACAGATTATACTTAATATTATTTTCTCTGAAAATCTCTATGAATGGAAATCTAATTAATTACTTCATATAATAGATTCCCCTTTCTCTTTCAATTTTTTTTTTTTTTTTTTTTAGTACTGGGTTTTGAACTCGGGACCTTGCGCTTGCGAGGCAGGCGCCAGAATCACTGAGCTAAATCACCAGCCCTCCCCTTTCTCTTTCTATATTCCAGATTTTGGGAAACAACTCTTCACGAAAATGATTTTTGCTCCTGATTACTTGTTGGTCATATCACTGATAAGGCACAGGCTTAGGGCATACTAAGTATGATTCTAAAAACCAAAGAAATGGCTTGGGAAAGCAAAAGTTTTCTACCCTATTACTTTAATGCCCAGTAAAATATGGCAAGAAAAAGAAGTACAAGTTTGGAGGCCAAATAATACTCTGATATTAAAAAGATAGTTCCTTGTAGACATGACCTTAGGCAGTCTTTGGACAGCACACAAGACATTATACCACCAGATGGATTTTGGATTTTTTAAAGAACTTGAAATTCCTTTCATGTCATCATCTTTTAGATCAGTTATGGATGTAGACTTTTCTAGAACAGGGACTCATTCATTCACTTGTATAATAAATATCTATGTGATTATTTTTATTCTCGGCACTGAAATGCAACAAACAAATCAGAAACCCCTGCCTTCTTGATATCACACTCTAGTGGATGGTGATAAGTTTTAATGAGATATATACTAGAAACTATAAATAAAGTCTTATAGGTTTTTTGCTGTTCATTTGTTTTTTTAAAAATTTTTGTTGCTGCTGTTGTTTTGGTACTAGAGATTAGACTCATGGATTTTGCACCGAGCTACATCTCCAGCCTTATTTTATACTTTAGGATAGGGTCTTTCTAAATTGTTAAATTGCTCAGGCTAGGCTTTAACTTGTGATCCTCGTGCCTCAGCTTCCTAGAGTGCTCCGCTTGCAAGCATGCACTACCACACCCAGCTACCATCTGCAGTCTTCATGGAACCTTTAGGTTATTGCCTAGGATGAAATAATTCAGGATCCTGGGAACAGAAGAGCTCTACAAGTCCCTGTGATAAATTGTTAGTGTATTAAGTTCAAAAGCAATGAACACTATATTATGACATATTCAGGTAAACAAATAATGCTTAAAACTAAACATCTTATTTTAATTTCTACTTTTGGACAAAAATCTAATTGAATGTCAAGTAAAACAGTATCTCAAGAATAGAAAAGCTGAACTCTTCTAAAATGGATTTGTCTTATTTCAGTCGTGAAATGTGTCTTATATTATTAATATAAATGTCATATTTCAATAGTGAAATAAGACAAATGTCTTCACTGTATTTGAAATCAATAGTTATTAAAAACATTCATGCAACATCTCAGACATCACATTGTATGTCTATCATGTTTAAAGCTTAGAAGACTGCTAGAATTATATTCTTAAAGACCAATGGCTAGAATTTTAATTCCTTTCCATACAATGCAACTCTTTTATGGCTTTTATTTCTTAATAATTTCTCAGCCACATTAGTTAATGCAGAGATTGATGAAAGTAATCTGTCACATAAGATATAAGGTGAAATTCAGAACATCAACATAAAGTTACTTCCAAAGTCATGCAAATGGATGATTAAGGAATTTTGGAACCATCCATATTCAATCAATGTTTTTAGGAACATTGAGCATAAAATCTGGAGTATAGATAAATTATGCTATATCTAATTTATATAGGTATCTAGAAATTGGTAATCTGGCTGGATTTAATGGACAAGTGTGGGAAGGCAGGGGACATGGCTACACTTTGTCTGGCTGATGCAGTTATCTGCCTTTCCCTTTATGTCCAGCGAGCAATCAGATGATCAACACGAGGTCCCGGATACTCTGTTCCAGGATGCAGTTTGACTGTGTGAGTCTTACTTTTAACAAGTGGGGATTAAGTAGTGCTCTGTACAGGACTAATTCTTCTCCACTCCTGAGGGAAGACTTTCTGAGCACTCCTCAAAATGGCCATTGAGTTTTGAGGTTTTCCAGTTTGGCTGATGGGTACAGGCAGTTTTCAGCCCCATGTGTCTGCCAAGCATTGTCCCTCTACTCCTCTTGGATGGTTCTTTCCTAGGCCTTGCTTATTCTCATTGGTCAGTACCATCACATACTTGAGGGTCTCTTTTCAGGTCTCAGGTGTCCTGTCCATGCAGCTTGCTCTGCCCTGCTATTTTCTCCAGTGAGCTTTAGCTACCTTGCTCTCCTCAGCCTCTTAGCTCCTTCTTTCTCCAAGGAGTCAACTGGGGTCCACCTTTACTTCCCTTCCCCGCCTGGAACCTGGAGACAGTCTCAAGGGAGTGAGATAGAGCATCTACATGGTTTATCTCATTTGTTTCTCATCTCTCAGGCAATATCTTTCACTGTCTGATGTCCAATTTTCTGTTTTTCTCTACATATGTTTCATTTATTCAGCTGAACACCTACTATGTGTAGACACCAAGTAAGTGTAGGTATACAGTAGTGAACAAATAGCCTTCACAGTTATAATGCCATGAGTTTGGATAGCACAAGAAAGTCCTTGATAACTGGAACATGGCAAAATGGTATTTCTAGACACTTAAGGCTCCAGATTAGACCCTGGAACCTGGCAAATAGTGCTTCCAGTCTGTCAGGACAAGTTGGCCTCTTTATTAGGTCTTTATTTCACTGAACTGCAACACTAATTCTGTCTTGATGTGTGAAAGGAGAAGTTTCATCATTTATTTAGCATCAATGAGTCTTATTGTAACAATTAATCTGATTTCAAAGAATAAAGTACAAAGTTAAAATTGTCTGTTTCTAATTATGGTAACAGTTATAATGAAGGTCCGTCCACACCAACAAATATACAACACACACACACACACACACACATTCATGCACACATACACACATAGTCTCAGAATTTTGTTCTGAAGTAAACTTTGATGACATACAATGAAGCAGTTTATGATGTATGAAATCATTAGAATCAGATGATTGCTTTCCTCACAATCCTAAGATAAATATCTATAAAATGAATGTTTTCATACATTGTGTTGAAAAACTAGTACTATCCATCTGGCAAAGATACACTTAACTCTGAGTTGTACTTTAAAAAGCCAACACACTTACCATATGTCTCAGTAATTGTAAGGTAAAATCTACTTGAAACAAGATGTCTGGGACTCACACACCATATCCAGTTGCCCAAAAGTTCATCTGTAAACCATTGTTCTGGCACACAGCATTGCCTTTTTTTTGTATACACTAACTTAGTTTTGTAAAGTTCAACTTTCTTTTCTGTAAAAGATTGTTCAATGTTGATAAACCTTAATCCTCTTATAGTTTAAATTGTCTCCAATATGTAGTATTGAGAGAAAAAATATTCCAGGAAAAACTCATTATGATTTACTTTATTTATACATGTAAAACACTGAACAAATGAATATATTATTCCACTGAGACAAAGTGACTTTCCTTTTGAACAGGAACTCTGTTCTGTTTGTTTACTTGGGTAATCTTTTATCAAGTGAAGCCATTTCATAATTCAGTTCAGCCCTTTTGTGTACTGTGGTGAACATTTTCCAGATTTTCTACAGCGATTCAGATCCTTATAACAAAATTTGTATTGAAGTAATAATATAAAAAAATCACAAAAACTTCATCAACAAAGAGCAGAGATTTATAGAGAAAGTATGTTTTAAAGCTTTGTTTTCTGAACTCAAGATCTGAATTATATTCTATTAATTTCCTATTTTGACGTAATGTAAAAAGTTGGTGTTTGTGTATATATGTTGATTATTTCACCATCATTTTCAACCAAGTTCACCCCGCCCCTGAGTTACTCAGTAAAAGTATTTAAGCTCTAGCCTTTCAGGAATATTGGGAATATAAATTAAGTAATGTACACGAAAAAGACTTTGTCATTATAACAAATGACATAAAGTTGGAAAGGAAGTTGTTTAGACTGTTATTTTTATGTAAAGACAAAGCCATATTTGGTGATATCAGTGGCAAGGGGCAGGGGAGCGATGCCAGCCGGACTCACTGTAATCAAGATTTTTGTCTGAGAACATATGAAAAGAGTGCAGATGTAGATCTTTCATCTGTGGAAGTTCTGGCCCATCTCCCTATTCCTCTACAGATACTGTCCCAGCAAGGAGTACAAAAACCTCCCCAGTTATGTGATTAAAGAAATGGAAATAAAGGTAGTGGAAATAATAATCCTGTAGCAGGAGAACAGAGAATTTTAACAGGGAGGCTAAGGGAAAATCAAGTTCACAGGCCAAATAAATATGCTATACAATAATCATATACAAAGAAAAATGGTGTATTTCATAAAATGGAACTAATTTAGGAAGGGAGGTTTTTCTATGTCTCCTCTTTAACAATTATTGCTCCAAAGGAAAATTTCTTTGAGAAAAGGTCCAAGCTATTTTGTGGCTTCTGTGGTTTGATTACATGAATTTAATCCACCACTGTGCTTTTTGTATAATTTCCTTATTAAAAGGGAGTACTTTTACCTGAAAAGAATCTACAAACCAATATACATATTTGAGAGATTGGCCAAGTCTTGATTATAATAAAAATTATGCTGTAATTTCTGCATTAAAAATTCTAGTGTTTTATGTTTAGGTCACCTTAGTGTTCCCTTGTTTACTGTGAGGTATTTTAATGCTAAAGCTATCACAGCACCCTGTTTTCCCTTGGTGAGATGGCATACAGTCCTTACCTTTACTGCTCTTTTGGGAGTTTCTGCTAAGATGGGTGGCACAATTCCCTTGTAAAAGCCCAACAACCTGTTGGAGAAATGAAAAATTTTGTATAAGTAAGGGAATTGGGAAACAGGTAATTCTGCATTTGTTTATGGATAGAGCAACTAATCCTAAATTTTCTCAATTCTTCAATTTACCTACCACATGGATCATGACATTTTCCTTTAATGCTAAAGTTAAGCTATAAATTCTATGTTTATTAGCATGATATTCAGTAGATGAATAGATTATACTAAGACTAGGATCCTTTTGGGAACTTGGTAAATGTAAACTAATTTAGATGAAGTTGCACTTTCTTGTTCTAATGAATCTTTATTTTCTAAATTGCTTGATACAGTTTGAAACTATCTACAGTCTTGCATTTCCTCCACTCTGGTAACCAAATGAGGTTAGAGTCACATCTGGACTCAGACTCGACCTTTTTGAGGCTAACAAGTTGATGAAATCTAACAAGGTGACTCTTGCTTTTTCGATACACAGCTTCTTTCAGTGAGGGTAGTGAAGGACTTTTTTATAGCTTCTAAATTGTTAGCTTCTTGAAGGTAGGGTGTCCCCTGGGGTTCTTATCCTAGAGTCCTTTATTTATGTATACTATGATATAAAATCATTAAATATATTAAGTATATGGATTTCATAATGAGAAAGAAAGAAATCAAATCATCCTCTGATATGGACTTCCTCTGCCCACTATTTTTGACTTATTGGATCATGTTAGTATTATGATAGGAACTAAAGCACACATGTGATTTGAAGAGTTATGGGAATTCATGAATTGCTCCATCCCGCTTTCCACTCCAATTTTAACTACTGATGTCTAACATTCTCACATCAACACTTACTTCCACCAGTTACATGTAAAATTTATATCCTTTTTATATTTAAAGCTCAAGATAAATTAATGACTATTTAATTTTCAGTACAAGAGTGAGTAAGCATAGTTTTGGTCTTTCCAAAAGATAAATGTGATTTTCTTGAATAGAAGTCCTATACCTATATTAAAAGAGATAATTAGTTATGTTCTTTCTGTGCTGATCTTTTCACTTCTGGACGATTATGCCTCGTTATTTGTGGGAGGGAATGCAGAGGAACTGAAAACTTGAGTAAGTAAAGCTTTTAAAACAGAATGCATGGATTTACAGAGGGACTTGAAATCCTATATGATAGAGAAGAGTTATAGGAAGAACAGTGACTTAGCCTGGAGAACAAACTTAGGGAGAAACATGATGGACATGAACTTGAAAGGCAAGCATGGAAGAACAATATTAGAACTTTCTGTTTCTAGGTAGTAGAACTGGGACCAACAGGTAGAAGCAACAAGGAAGGACAGATTTTTTTTTTTTTTTTGCCAGTTGGAGCTTAATAGAAGTAGCACTTTGATAGAACTAGCTAAGGATAGAATGGGCTCTCCTGAAAAATGGTGAGTTCTGATTTGGTAAGTAATCAACAGCTTGGATGACTGGATATTAGAGATCAGATGGATGAACACAGCAAAGATGGACTGGATGGCTCTCAAAGCCAATCTGTTTCACTCCTCAGATTCTGTCATTCTAAGAAAAAGAACACGAAGACATACACAAGCACCTTTCTGAAGGGAAAAACTCTGCCTCACTTCAGTATTTTTCCCCTCAAGAATTGCACTGCTTCTCTGGAAGAGGACTAAAGTCTTGTAAGTCAAACAAATGGACTTCATTTTAAAAGTGATGGGAGAAAATATTAGAAAGAGGTGTAAGGCAGGAGAGCAGAGAGAGGCAGCCGGGAGAAGCATAAGGATTTAATCTGAAAAAAGCTGGGAGGTCCAGAGCCCTCTGCTTCATGTTGGCGATGCTTCGCTGCTGTGCCCTCCTTCTCTTCCCTCTTCTTGCTCCTTTCATGTGCAACACCAACCCCTGTCCCACCATCCTGAACTTCCTAACAGTAAATGAAGATTCTTAGCTAGAAATCCTCAGGGTCGCAGGCAGGCTTTGCTGGCAAAAGGAATGTGAGAACTATCTATTCCCTTGCATTTTGCCCCCATCCCGGTACATCCACGCCATAAGCATCTAGGGAAAAGTCAGGCCAGGACTGCTCCTGCAGAGAATGCCACACCCAGTCTTTTTAAACCACTGGAACCAACATATTAGCACAATATGATACAGATTGTAGGCTGGAGTTGACTGGGTACCTTATTCAAATGGATCCAAATGGTATTCTACTTCTTTGTGCTAGTTAATCTAATCCAAACTATGCCTGTTAGCTTTTTCTTTACATGTTTGGAATTGGAACTAGAAAGGTCAGTCTTGTTCTGTGTAGTTAACTAAGATATCAAAGTAGAATATCAATGGCAGTTATGCTTTCCATCATTTGCAGAAAGCTAATCTGCAGTGAAAAAGAGAGGAGGTCGCTATTCAGGGAGACACAGAAACAAGAAAAAGAAGACAGTTTTGGAGCGTGACTCTGTTGTCAGGATTTCTTTAAGCTTAATTACCTCTACACTCTTTTCAAATATTGATATTTACTGCTGCCTTTCATTCTATGAGATACCTGGAAATATTTCCAAAAAATTCTCTTTTACTTAAATAAGAGTTGGGTTGACTACTTAGTACCCAGAGTCCTGGATCCAGAAATTAAATCCCATGGTCCTGAAGTGGTAACTGTACGTTCTTATGTTATGTCCTCTCATAGGAGGAGAGTTTTTCTCAGTTAATTAAGAGTTACATACAAAATATGGGCAAGAGAAGGTAAGCAAAGGTTCAAGCTGGTGAGCTATTTCTCTAAGAAGAGACATTACTGAAAGTTTTCCTATTGCAAAACATGCTATACAGATTTTAAAAACAAAAAAGGAGTTGTAATATTTTATGAAAGAAATAGCTTTGTTCTGCTAAAGAAAAGATGCCTACGTCCACATGCAATGCTCACTCTGCTTTCATGCAGTTTTAGCTTGTATAGAGAGCATATACCTTTCCAGGACAATAATCAGGACGGTGACACCTGTATTAATGAGCTTCATCCTGCTTCTTGGGAAGTGGATTGCTGGCTTCACTCACCTCGCTGGATGAATGCAGAGTGGGATTCCAAGTGTTTAGAGACAGTAAAGACATCACTTTGCTTTTAAGTTTTGATCTGCATCAAGCCAACAGGGAAAATCTTTGGAGGCATAGGACTCTTTATGAAATTGTAGTATGAATTACATGGAAGACTTCGTATTTTCTTCTTTAGATTTGTTATTTCTGAGAAGTGTGAATTTGATTTTAAATTGTCTTGTATAGGCAAATATTAACCTGGATACTTATGGATTTTCATTAACATTATGACAAGTAAAAATAGCCAAAATTTGTTGAGTGATTTCTGTGTATTAGCTACTATAAGAATAAATATATATAGTATATACACATATTAATTAATCTTATTCAAATTTTATAGCAATTCTTTGAAGTAGGTACAAAGTGTGATATAAAAATATAGTAAATGTTTAGTAAATGTTTACAATGAAAGTCACATTGCCATTTATTCCTCTCAAAATGCTCTCCCTCATTTGGAACATCCTTATTCCATGATTCTTGTCACTTTCTGAAGCAGTTCTTGAAGTCCTTTATAGTGAATGTCTTTTGTTCCACTGTTGTGGCTGCTTCAAAGCTTGAATTTACTCAGAATGTTTAACTTTTGTAGTAATTTTCACTTTGGGGAAGATCCAGAAGACATAGTGTACTAGATTTAGAGAATAAGGTGGATAAAGACACACTATTATTTATACTAGCTTGCCTTTCTGTTGTGTGGCACTTGGAAGCAGTGTTCACCAAATTTTTTATTGCATAAAGACACTCATGAAAGCAGGCTTCCAGAACTGGTTCAGAAAATGGCAAGCACAATGGGATAAATGTGTTCAAAGCAAGGGGCAGTATTTTGAAGGGGACTAATGACAAAGTGTCATTTACTATAATAAAAATTTAAATTTAAATATTCATTGTATATTTTGATCATACCTTGTATGATTATTTTCTTCATTTTGCCAATGAACCCTATTGTCATATCATTACCAAATAGGTTCCAATGACATAATTAAGTTCCTTTGCCATCTCACAGTCTATATCCTTGACTACTGTATATATCACATAGAAGTTTTTCTTGAAATAAAGCTTGTTTCCCCCATTGCAACATTTGAGACTGAACCCAAGAGCAAACAAATAGTAGGTAACCACTTTGTCACTGAGGTACACAACCACCCTGAAATAAAATAAAAACTTTGGAAAAGTTATTATTAATCACAAAGTTATGCAACAATATTTTGTTATTTCTTATTTCAGGAGGAAGCAGAAAACATAATTAAAAATCAGGTCTCTACTTCCATTTCCATTCAATTCTGCTGTGAAGTAATATAAAAATGTAAAACATTAACTGCATAACTGATAGAAATGCACTAAAATGAATAAAGCCAATTTTGTGAAGCCTTTTGGATTGTCAACTACACATTTTCTAGTTGTATATGAATAAGAAAAAAAAACAGGCCCTGGGATAAACTTTTCCAACTTGAGAGAAATTTTTGTCTGTAATAAGCATACCAGTATAATTCTGTCAGTGTGGGACAAAGATAATTAATACTTGGGTAATATGATAAAGCACAGAAACAGTGTTAAATTTAAAACTGTTATCTAAACTCTCACCTGTGAAGGAAGCCAGTCATGGTAATCCCATTCCTTGCTTGTGAGTGTGTTAAGTTTGTGCATTTAACCCAAAATTAGCCCAGTGGATCAGGAAAGACGTATACTGGAGGTTATGGAATTCCAGTAAAAAGAAAAAGAAAGTCCCTTTCTTTGATGGATGTTATCTTAGCTCCATGAGATGCCTATGCTCTGACATCAGGTGAGCTATCATTGCCCACAAGCTAAGGACAGCAGAACAGAAAGATGCAAAGGACCTGAATCTCAATGACATGCTGTGGCTGCTGAATTAACTCATCCTGACATCCTACCTCCAAATTCCTGGTTAAGGGACATAAAAAGTAAACCTTCACCACTTGAGTTGCTTCAATTTTGTCTCTTGTTAACCTGCAGCTAAAAGCATTATGTTACAAAGAGTCATGAGCACCTCATTTCTGAAAGAGTCTCAAATTGTCACTCTGAAACCATAATCCTATTGAAGATAATTGTAAATGTTAAGCAAAGCATTGAGAAGGAGACTGGGAGAAACATTTAAAAATGGTTTTAGATTGTTTCTCTCAGGGAGCCAAGCATTCACCGAAGCTCTACAGCATTGGTACGATAATCTGTGAAAGCCCCAAGCCACACATGGGCAAACATGATGATGGGGCACTAAAGTCATGAGATCACCATGATCCTTATAAAAACTGTTGTCCACAAACCTGGTAAACACAGAGCATAGTATTACAGTACTGGATCACATTTGTTTGTAATTGTGTAATCAAAACAGGCCTTGTAGTACTTATGTCCATCTATAAAATGAAGGTCAAAAACTAAATCTCATGTGTTCTTCTCAAAGACACAGCTCACACATAGCTTATTTCAAATGCAATAATTTTACCCCTCATTTCTCCCCACCTTCATTCTCAAAATGTGAAACTGTTTAACATATGGGTGGCTACAAAGGTCATGGAACAACCAAGGAAAAGATGCTGATTGTGTGGAAGCAAGCAAGAAAACGAGGAATTTTCTGAGTTCCACCCAGTGTCCAGTCCTGGTGGCTTATGTCCAGCAAATCAAAGATGCTTTCCTGCTCTCTCTGATTAGTGGAGTCTCGTTTTAGGCTACCCTTCTTTAAGATCTAAAATTTAGTCACTGAAAGACCAGACAACCAGACAGATCTTTAATTTATCATAGACCTTGACAACACCTTTTGTCCATTTTGATGACTGAAAAAAGCCACTTATCTTAATTTAGCTACTGAAATCTTAAGACTTTGTGGTAAACAGTGGGGAGACAGGAGAGGGTTTAACATTCTCAAAATCTGACTCAAGTAAAGAAACTAAAAAGGAGGGGAAAAATCACATGTCCATCTGCCCCTCTGTTTTTTGTCTGAGTCACTCCCCTGTTGGGTTTGCTCTTATTTTTCTAACTTAATATGTAGAAAACGTTTGTTTAGAAATCATTTGTATTGTTGAGTTAGGCTACTCTACAAGCAAGCTGGGAAATTTCCTGAGTCGCTAGGCTACGTCTACTAGGAGCAACAATGTGGAATATTTTCTTCTTTGTACAGCAGTTACCAATGAGAAAAGAAAACATTGTAGCTTCTTTACAATTGATCTTTGGAGAGATTCAAACCCTGTTATCTTATCAAAAAGGTTATCATAAAACTCGATTGATAAATTAATGAGAAAATGAGTAGTATAGAAGAAAATAGTGAATAGAATTCTCTCCTAAGAAGAGAGGCAAAGATCAATGTACAAATCTGCTGTCTGTGGAAACTGAGGCTGTAGCTGGTGGCCAGAGGGGAAGTGTGTTGGAACCCAAATGGCTGAGATTTGTAAGTCAATGGAGCAACCACCTCAATGGGTGACCCAGGATAAAGATTATCTGAGGCTGCAACTGTCAACTACAGAAATGATTTCCAAACTGAAAAGCCACTTTCCAAGACACCTACAACACATGGGCAGCATGAGAAGGATGCTTTCACCTGGATCCTACTTCTTTGCCAAAAACTTGGCATTCAGTAAGCGTCCAGAGCAGCAATAATATTCACTGCTGAAGCATGAAATAGGAACAACAGGGAAAGTGACACCAGATTCCCAGTTGGGGAAATTGGAAAGCATTAACACGTCTGTATACCTAACAGAGCACAATTACTACATTTTATTTTGTTTCAACAGTCAGGATCTAAATGAACATCACCATTCAGTTCTATTCTGGGCAACAATCCAAGCTCATCTTTAGTACAGTTGATTTTGAAGCCTTACAGTCAATCATATCTTCACAATTTGTCCTTCTTTCAGGCTTCAGGCATCTTCCTGATTTCCATTTCTTCTTTGGAAGCTTTGAGTCATCTCTTCTGGCAAAATGACCAATTCAAATCAGTCATTTTCTCCAAATTATATTGAAATAGGGATCTTGGTATTTGCTGTTTTCGTCCTCCTTCTTTCATTCACATCATTTCCCCTTCAAGGATCTCCTAATACAAAGCTGATTGAAGGGATACAATATCCTCTTTCTTCTGTTGCTCTCAAATCCAAGTTTCTTACCCACATGCTGCAGCTCTGTAATTAAAACAATGAGGGCTGCACTCAGCCCTGGGTTATGAGTGCACTGCTTCCATTGCTGGGTGAACTGTGTATCCCAGGGCAGAATTCTGGCCTGACACTACACCTTTAGGGCATTATTCTGACATCATTTGCACTCCACAAATCTCAGCAATTCACAGAATCCAAATGAAAGAGTGGGGTTTCATGGCTCTGTTATTTGAATTATGTAGAATCTGCAATCTAAAGTTCACTAAATTGCAGGCATCTTGGGACTATTTCCATTTAGTCAAAAAAAAAACCAGGGAAAACCTGTGTATCTATCAAAACAGAGGAAAAATTGCTAAAAAAGAGTAAGAGACAGTCTTTTAAAAGCAGTGAATGAACTTCAAGGAGGTGATATATAACAAAAGTTTTAGCTGACACTCTAACATAAAACTAACAAAAATTTTCTTTTCTCGACTCATTACAGGTCTTCAGGCACAAATAATATAGTTTTTATTATTCATTACTGAGAATTAATTGCATTAACTTTCTGCATGAGGTTCTTGGATACGTTTGTTACTCCAAACCATACCGCTTTCATTAATATGCCGTATGGGGGAATTCTTCAACGTTTTCCCAAGCACACATTTTAAATTGACTCTTTAGTATGATTTCACCACAGTTAAACTTTGTTGTTATGTCTGAAACAAACTACAACTTTGACTTTTTGAGACACAAAAGATGACTTTTGCTGTCAATATCATTTGGAAGGTAGGTCTATGGCTCCATTCCCTGGAAAATTGGCAGGGAGCTTGACTCACTAAACATGTTGCTCAGTTCAGCTCAAGGAAGGCATTAGGACAATATAAGAACCAGAACCCTAATGGAAAGTGCTAAAGAAAGAAAAAGCAAAAATGATATTTGAGAAGCAACCAAAGTGGTGAATAATATTGGTAAAATGCTGGTGTTAATTGCCCATTAATCTATGAGTGACTTACTTATAACTGACTATTCTGTAAGTAGTAATTTTCAGTGACAGTGGATTACTTTGCTCATAAAGATGAATATATTTTCATTGGAAAATAAGAATGATTTAAGGGGAGTCTTTCCAGTGTTGGATGACATCTATGAGAAAAATGTCTTTTAAAAAAACCTCAAAAAAATCACACACAAACAACAACTCTACTTTTTGGGCTGGGACTGAAAGCTAGGAAAGATAATCTGATCATCATCATTGAGTTTAAAAGTCCTCCACTAGCCAGGTCCCAGTCAGATTTTGGCTAAACAGGTCCCATAGAAGAAACTCTTTGCTCCATTCTGATAACTCCCATCTTATCAATGGCTCCCCTTTTAATTTATCCTTTTAAAAAAACTATAATTAATGCTGACTTTATTGTTCTTTTGTGTCCTTAAAATTTTTTAGCTATAAGATATAAATGGGTTTCATTTTAGCAGATTTGTGTATGTATATAACATAATTTTCACACACACACCCCCCCCACCAAACCACCTGTACTATTCAGCTTTCCCACTGAGATGATGCAGGGAGGTTTTATTTGGCTCACAGTTTCAGGGAATTCAGTTCATGGTCACCTGGGTCTCAAGCAGGAACTTCATGGCAGAAGGGAATGGCAAAAGTGAAAATGCTTAGTTCATAGCAACCGGGAAGCAGAGAGCAGATAAACAGTCAGAGAAGAAGGGAGAGTGAAGATAAAGACCTGAAGATCCTAACTTCCATGACTCACTCAGAAACACCCAGAACTGTGCTTTCCTAATCCTCTGGGTGGCCTTCAAGCCAATCAAGTTGACAACCCACCTTAACTGTTACACATCCCTCACACTCCCTGCCCCTTCTTCTCTAATAGTCCCCTTTCTACTTTCATGTCCTCTCTCTCTCTCTCTCCCTTTTTAGATTTCATATATGAGGTGCCATCAAAAACTACAGTGAATGTTTAAATTTTTACAATTACAGAAAAGGTCCACATTGCTATGAATCCCCATCAAAATACTCCCCCTCACTTCAAATGCAGTTATCCCACGTTCTTGACACTTTCTAAAGTAGTTTTGGGAAATCCTCTTTCATACCTGTAGTTGCAGTTGCACTGTTGTGGTTGCCTCAATGTCCTGAATCAATTCAAAACATTTACATTTCATGGTCATTTTGATTTTGGAGAAAAGCTAGCAGTCTCACGGTGCCAAATCCTGTGAATAAAGTGGATGAAGACACACCACGATGTTTTTATTTGACAGAAATTGCCATAAATGTAAATTACTTCAGAAAATGGCAAGACGATGGGGTGTGTGTTCAAATCAAAGGGAAGTACTTTGAGGTGGATTAATAGCAATGTGTACTTTACTGTAATATTTTAAAAAATTTACACATTCACCATAGTTTTCTTTCAAAATTTTTTTTTACTAGTACATGTTTGCAATACATAATGAATACAATTATCATGGGAAGTTAGTGCATGTAAATAGCACATCTTAATCCTTTTTGATCACACTTTATATGAGAGAAAGCATATAACATTTGTCTTTCCGAGTCTAGCACATTTTGCTTAACTTGATGATTTCCGGTTCCATCAAGTTTCCTACAGATGACATAATTTTACTTTTTTTCATTGCTGAAAAATGCTTCATTGTGGGTTTTTTTTTTTGGTACCAGAGATTGAACTTGGGTCCTTGTGCTTGAGCAGCAGGCGGTGAAACCACTGAGCTAAATCCCTGGCCCTTCATTGTGCTTTTACATACCACAATTTTTTTTTTTTTTTTTTTGGTACTGGGGATTGAACTTGTGTCCTTGCGCTTGTGCAGCAGGCGGCAAAACTACTGAGCCCGGCCCAATACCACAATTTTTAATCCATTTATCTGTCAACATGCCCCTGAGCTGGTTAGAATTTAGTTATTGTTAATTGACTGATCCCTTTTTACTTATGTCCTCTGTTTCTAATTTCCGTTCGATTCACGAAGTAACTGTCATTCATTTATTCACTCATTATACCTTTTGCCAAGCACTAGGCTACAAATCTTCTAGGGTCATGTGTTGATACAGTAGTCCCATTGTCCCAAGTCCACTGAGACCTTAATTTTCTCCAAGAAAATTGCCTTTTCTTTGATGCTATGGATCTGGCACATAGTTACATTCAGATAACTTTATACTAATTGCATATATATAATATATACACAGTACATACACATGTATACAGGTGTGTATATGTATATCTATATGTATTCATACATATCTATAGACTCACATACAGATATGAATCAGTATCTATATTAATAATCCAAATAAAGTACATAGTAAAAACTGGATAGAGTCTGTGTTATCCACACAAATATCATTTTTAACCCATGTTATAAACTGCTTAAGGGATAATGACCATTCCTATTCTTTACCATCACTCTCTGACATTTAGCATCAATTCAAAGTTACTTGTCAATAAAGACAATATGAGTGTGAGCTCTGGAGCCACTACTTTTGGCCTTGAATTTGGCTCAGCCATGTGTGAGCAGTTTTCCCAGCATGGGAAACTCATGGTACAAAGGGTGGGGAAATTAATGTAAAATTATGGAAGTGAGTTGGATGCAAGTTGCCTGGTTTAATGCCTTGATGTGGACACAGGGCTATATTGGACTGAAGAGGGGCAGAAAGTCCCAGAATTCAGAGATGTCATCACAAATGGAATCTTACCAAAGTATGTGACCCACTGGCAAAGGAATTCACTCGGTAAATTCCTACAACCAGATAATGGATGTTAGAGTCCAAAGATGCTGTGAACTAAGTTCATTGAGCTGTCTACTTCCAAAGCATAAGTCCTGTTTGGAAGTGTGTCAACTTTTTGTGTCCACTCACCAATTATTATAGTCTGTTTCAAAATTAATTTCTGGGGGTGCCCCCTAGTGGTATCAGAGCTAAATGCAACTCAAGAATTGTCATCACTGCCCAGATACCCAAATATTGGATTAGGGCAGTGGTGGAAAACGTACACCACACAATGCTGCAGGGGGCTGTTTGTATCATTGAAAGCTCTAAAAGGTTCTTCACTGGACTAGGGCATTTTTTAGTAGTCTGATTTAGTAGACTTTCATTGATAGGGAAAGTATTGCACCATCTTAGACTAACTGAGACTTAGGGAAATGTTAGAAACAAAAATAACAATCATAAGAAATGCTTTACAATCATTATCCCATTCCATTTTTAAATGAAATAGACATTATTGTGTCTACTCTATAGAAAAGGACAAGGAAACTCAGAAAAGTTAGGCAAGATTTCCTCCAGGCAAAAGGATAGTAAATGGTGGGACTGGGATAAGAACACAGGTATACTTGACTCTGAAACCTTGCTCTTGAACACTGTGTTTTGGCTTCTCTGGGAAACTTTATTTTACCTCCTGGGTCTAGTGCTCCTTCCTTGACTGTGTCTCTACTGTTGGCTGAATACCTCTGCCCAGGCTCTGGTTCATTTCTGGAAGGAATCAAAATGCTGGTTTTTGAGTAAAGGAATAGCTAAGCCAGGATTTGTAGCTCCCTTTGTCATTCACAATCCCCTGCAGTAGTTTTTTTTTTTTTAAGTGCCTGAGTTTTAATTTAAATAATTAAAACACAAGCTAAATGAGTAGTTACTGAGCTTTCTGGATTGAATGAATCAAAGTCAATATGAATGTCATGAACTTCCAGATGTACAGTCATTCCCGATCATTTTGATAAAGTCCTTACATAGAGTATATTATTATCACTGAATAATTAAAAGTTTACTATTTCCCTATCTATCTTTCTATGTCCTAGAAAACCACTAGTTGGATAAACTAAGTAGAATCCAAAACACTTGAAAAACAATCTTGTTCTTTCCACAGTATTGTCTAGATCAGCTAATGGTAATTCCATCTATCCAGTTACTCAAGCCAGAAACTTTGAACTTATACTTGAATTCTTTTGTCCATTTCTATCACTTTGACTCCATCATACCTGACTCAGTACAACAGTTTCCTCATTCATCTTCCTATAGTTTGTACTCAAAGCAATTCCAGAATGATTCTATTAAAATAAAAAATGGATCACTTTCCTCCTCTACTTTCAGTCTCCCAATGTCTTCCCATCTTCTCTGAGTAAAACCAGAGTCCCTGAAGAGGTGTAAGAAGCACTCTTCCCACCCTCCTGCATTCTACCTTCCATTCAGCTCCTACTCCTCTTTCTTTGGTCCATTTCCTTTCGATCTCCTGGCCTTTTTCTGCTCCTTGGACCAGGTGCACCCCATGATGGTGCCTTTACATGTGTTGAATCCTCTCCCCTACATGTCCCCATGACTCACTGCTCCCCTTCTTTACATCTTTGCACAGATGTTCTCTTTTCAATGGGGCTCAATCCCACCTCTTTTATTGGCAGCATCCTCACAAGGGTATATGACCTTTTTTCCTGCCTGCTGCATTTCTCTTTATAGAACTTACTCCTTCAAGCATTTTTTCCCAGCTTCATTTATTTACTTTCTGTTGCTTCCACTGAGAAGTCACCCGCATAGGGACAGGGCAGAAATTTTTGTCTGTGTTATTTATTGATCTATCCCCAGGGCCAAATGTAGTACCTGACATAG